TATCTTGCTCCTCCTAGGGACAATAACGGTGCTTGCCAAACATCAGAATGAACTAACTCGAAAATAGCTTTACTTCTAGCAGTAGAACTGCTGAACTTCAATCTGTGCTGCTTACTAGTAACACAATGCTCACAAAAAGGTAATAAAACTTTTTTGAGCTCTGGAAGAAGCTTTTGTTCTTAGAGAAGTTTCAAACCACGTTCCGACATGTGGCCAAGTTTGCGGTGCCACCTCAGCGTTAATACTTCTGCTGAACTAGTAAACGTGACAAATACTTCTCCTTCTTGTAGTGTTTCTCCTTTAAGCATATACAAACTTGCAGCTATCTTTTCCTCTTTCATCACCACAAGCGCGCCTTTGATTATTTTCATGACCTCATCTTGTACATGGGTCTTGCAACCAATGCTATCTAATTATCCTAAAGACAATAGATTTTTCTTTAAACCTTTTACGTATCATACCCCCTGGATAGTGAGAACTGTACCATCATACATTTTGAATTTGATGGTACCAATACCAGCGATCTCCAAGGCATGGTCATTGCCCATAAACACAAATCCTTCTGAGATAGGTTCATAATGATGGAACTATTCCCTCCTTGGTGTCATGTAGCTCCTGAGTCCATAAGCCAGACATCAGAAAACTATTTTCTGTCTTCAACAACTGTTGTTGCCTTGCTGTATAAAATTTCACCATCATCTGAGGTGCTTGCTACACAACCCTGAGCTTTTGATGTCTCAGGACCTTTTCCTTTGACTTCTTCATTCTTTTTGAGATTCCAACAATCCCTTTTTAAGTGTCCTTTCTTGCCACAGTAATAACACTTGGCATTCTTCTTACTCTTCGATTTTGATCTATTTTGATTATGACTCCCACTAAAGCCGCGTTCCGTTGATCTCCCTCTCATCGTCGTCGAAGCTTCCGCCTGATGTGAACTTCTTGATCTGTTCTCCTTGTTTTTTTGTCGACTTTCTTCTTCAAGAACCGAAGCTACAATATCATCGAAGACTAGAACTTCAATATTGTTGGTTAAGTTCATGATGAGTTGATCATACGAATCAGGTAGACTTTGAAGTAGAATTTCAGCACGTTTACCTATCTCTATGTTATGCCCCATTGATGTGAGCTGTGAAAATAGAGTGTTGAGGGTGTTGATATGGTCGATCACCATAGTTGACTCCATCATCCGAAGGGTGTAAAGTTTTCTCTTCAAAAAGATTTTGTTGTGTAACGATTTGGCCTCGTACAGTTTTGAGCGTATCCCATATCTGTTTGGCTATCTCTTTCTCCGCCACACTTGACAATACTCCATCGGCTAGCGCTAGGTGCAGATTAGCAATTGCATTGCCATCCATCTCATTCCACTTAGCATCATCGTGCTCTCATCGGGCCTATCTCCAATTGTCGCCAAGCAGTTATCTTTCCTCAAAACTGCTTTTATTCTTATTTTCCACAATGAGAAATTGTTTCCATTGAATTTTTCAATCTCATACTTTGCCGCCATTTTGTTCACGGTCACTATCTCCCTTGTATAAAAATAATGAACAACGACCCTACACAAAACCGGGCTCTGATACCACTGTTAGGAAAACGTGGGTCAAGTTTGGCTTACAACGAAAATGGAATCGAGAAAATACAGCTAAAAATTTAACACAAATATTTATGTGGTTCACCCAATTTAGGTTACGTCAACGGAAAAGTATAGGAAGATTTCACAATAGTAGGAGAAGTAAAATAATACTCTCTAGATACAAGGAGATAACAATAATTAATCTCTGTTGTAATAGGAGAAACTAAATAGGAAACACTCAGGAGAAAGCAATATTTTTTCTCTCTACTCACTATTTTCTCTCTACTCACGCTTTCAATTCCTCTCAATTTGCTTGCTCCTTCCTTCAACCTTGGCCATCTATTTATAGGAAAATTTCTCCGTGTCCATTTAATTGCAGTGTAGAAATTCAACACACAAGAAATTGCTGCCAACTTCTACCAACATTGCATGCATTTTTCTTCAACATTAAATCCATGCAACCTGCCCAAGTCAACAATCGTAGCAAAATGGCGAAGATATTGTTGCCTCTTTAGTCCAACAAAGTGGCTTTATTCCAACAGTAAAAGAGTCAAAGAAGCTTACTTATGTTTGATAATTGTAAGTCTGAGTCAAACGTAATTGTTTGGTATTCCTAGTTAAATTCATACAGAGTCTATTATGAGTGTCATTCTACCATCGAGGACTGATTTTTATAGTTTTAAGACTGTCTTTATAATGTGGAAGAATTTATCAGAATTTATGGGATCTGTAGCTTCCATATTCAAGACTCTTTTTTTTCCCAGAATTTTCCTAAAGAAATCTGGATTGAAGTATCTGTTTTATTAAATCAAAGCAATATCAGTGCCTGCCAAAGACTCATAAGTGCAGAACGATGTCTAGACAAAGACAGATGACACTACAACATGTGAAGGTATTACAAGAGAAGAATTTATAACATGCAACAGCAAATAAATTTGTGTGCATAAGGAGCACAGACTTATTACAAGCCAAAAGAAACCAGCACCCTAGAGAATCCTTAAGAAAATAGGAGATAACACTTACGAAACTGAGTTACCGCTAACCAGAGAATCCTTTAAAAAAAAAAAAAAGGTGATAACAATTAGGAAATTGACCTGCCACAACATTGGGGCATCATACATTCAATGCTATGGACTATTAAACTTAAGGAGATTATCTTTTGTGGTGGAGGGAGTGATGAAGAATGGAACTGTTGAGTCTCAATAAGAGAGACAAAGAAGCCAAAGAATAGTCTATTTAGTTTTAGCAATTATGTACAAAAATGAGTCAGAAGCAGAAAATATTATTTGTTTTCCTAATTAAAACTATTATTTTGTATTGATTATATTGAATGTCAAGGAAGTCGAAGTATAAATTCAAAAGTCTAAAAGTCATTATATAGTTTAAAAGATTGACTCTGTAACCTCAGAAGGTAAAGAAAAATTGCACTAAAAAGGCATTATCAGAATATACTAATTCTTCTCCTATCCATTTTCAAGGTCTTTCGCCATTTTTTTCCTAAATAAATTTCACTTCAACAGTGATTGGAGTATCAGTTTCCTAGGCATTTATCGCTATTCATATTCCTTCTCGAGGAAAAACAGAGCTCAAGAAAACTCGACCAAAGTATATGTAGAAGTATATGATTGCGTTAGACATAAATTCGGCTTCAATAGCCCAAGATTCAATATAACAGATCTAAGATAATTCTTTTGGTATATGGTTGAACAGTAGTACCCATCTTATTCCTTAAAAGAGAAATTCTAAATCAAGGACACGGGAAGAGAAACCAACTAGCACGAGACAGCTCAGGAACTATGAAATGACAGCATCAGCCCAAATGTAAAGACTAGGATTCTAGAGCAAAAATTTACTCATATGTCAACCTTTTCAAGTTAACTGCTTGAAACTTTTCCCTTTTACAATAAGGCAGACGAGGAATAGTTACGCATTTATCTCATAAAAGAGCCAATAGTTATAAGAGGATGCCAAGGTATAATAAAGTTCAGTAAATCCATTCTCATTATATTTTGTAAACAATAAGTATATGCGACACTAAATTAAAAGTTATAAACAGAAAGGAAAGTTGAAATTTATATACTTATATGTGAAGTAACCATCAAAAACCTGCAATTTTTATCAATGGAAAGGCAAGCTTCATGCATGTTTATATTAAGTCGGTCCATCAAACTCTCCTTGGTGACTCGATAAATTTCTCCTACAAAAAGAAGACACGTGGTTAACACACACCATTATAGGAGGCAATGTATCAGCTATCAGGTGCACTGCCAATTGACAAAGAAAGACCTAAACAAACGACGATAATTGTGGTGCCTTTGATCTCATGAAATCCTCAATAAACATTCAAGAAATTTTAAGGGTACATATTGCTTTTATCAAAGGCAAGAATGCTAAGAAATTTAAGATGATGAGTTCTCATCAACAAAGTGATCTTCTCCGCTGTGAAGTTTGAACAGAAAAAAATAAAAATAAAAAACCTGTTAGATTTGTGATACTAAGACTTGAGGAATAATCCATAATTCTTGAAATGCTTAAAGTGTACTTAACGAAAGGTTAATGGAGCACAGTGTTGAAAATGCTTAAAGTATCACTTTGTTGATGAGAACTCATCATCTTAAATTTAAGAATTGTGCTCCCTTTACCTTTCGTGTGACAGATACTGAACTCCTTCAGCAGTCTAATAAATATTTCAGTCGTATGACAGATAAGAAACTCCTTCAGCAGTGTCACATTCTCCAATTGGCAACTATTTGTAATACATGGTTATGGTGGCATCAATAAAACAGTATTAATATTTATAAAATGAAATTATAATACTAGAACTTGATTGAGAAAACAATAACAAAAGCATCAGTTACGTAAACCCACAAGCAACATACTAATTACTTGATTAAGTTGACATCATCAATTTGCATTAAGAACCTAATAAAATTAGAAATGAAACTTTTAGACACTGAACAAAAAAAATTATGCATCACCTGTTCCATTTTTAACATCCATAAATCCATTCTTACTGATTCTTTCCAAAAACCCTGCACCCAAACGCTCTTCAATGCCTTTCTTGAGATCATAACGGCCAGAAGCATTAATTACTGCATCCACGTCATGATATTTAGATGCATAAAGGAGTACAACATTTCCTCCTGCAATTTCACGACTCACTGTTAGGTCTTCTTGAACAGAGAAGAATATATGGAAAATCAGCTGGTCAATGAAGCTAACTTTTCTCCTTCTACCACCCCTCTCCACAATACAAAGTAAAAAATGAAAAAGAAGAAACACATCAAAAAATGAATTTTGAAGGAATGTATAATAATGCCGTGACCCTAAAAGTAGGACATGATACGTGGGAAATCATTGAACAAAAAGTACTATTTTAGAAAATAGCATCACTGAATTGAAGATTTCAAAGGGCTAAAGATGGTTACAGTGACAATTAAAAAAATAAAACAAAAAGCTATGTATGTTGGTCTTCGAATAGGATTATTGAATAAGAGAAAAATAATAATCGATGGAACTCAACAACCAAATTACAGGAGATACAATGACAGAGGTAATCAAGGTGCAATCCCTGGATTATCACTCCTTAATTTTTTTCACCATATATTTGTTTTAATATTTAAAAGCTACACTTTTATCCCATATGTGTTATTGAAAATGTTTCAAATGCATCCTTTACATGTATCTAATATGTTCCTAAGGTTTCTCAAAGAATCTAAGACTATAAAAATAAGTTGAATACTATCATCTTCTCACAAGCATGTGGCCATTTGTCTGATATGTGTCAGGGTATGTCCATATCCAAGACATGTTGAACATGACAATTTAGCATGGGAAGAGTATCCCTAGACTGAAACAAAGTGAAAATTTCCATCTTATTTACACAGTTTAAAACTGTGAAAATAAGAAGACCAAATGGTCTCAAATGAGAATCTAGTATTTATACCAATTTGAGATATGGACATGACCAATTCATGAACCAATTTTAAAGAAAGGATCTTGCTACATGTACATTACGGTTTAAATAAGGGATTACATAATGTCACGTGACACTCTATCATTTGCCAGTTTAAAACACAATTAACGTTTCCATCCATTCTTTTCCCTCCACATCATTTTATGTAATCCTTTATGTACAATGTTTACGTACAAAGTATGATCCTTAAAGAAAATGTTGTTTAACACTTTTTATTTCCCAAAATTATGGTGTGTGAATGAACATTGGTATTTTAGTGGATAAAAGAGACACAACAAAGTACTATTCAGTTGGTGTAAAGTGTAAACTGGCTCACCTTTACTATGACCAAGAATTGCTTTTATAGTGCGGTTTTCTCCATTAAAGTATTCAACCACAGATCGCAAGTCTTCAACCTCTCTATAGTAGTTACTATACCCAAATGAACCTTCACTTTCCCTGGAAATTATTGCAAACACATAACAAAGAGTGGTAGAAGACTAACATAAAATCCAGGAATTAACTAGAGGAGTAATTTATCAAACAAAGAAGTGAGTAGATACTAGAAACAAAGAATAAAATTCATGTTCAATGTTGATCATTGTTTGAAACATGATATTGTAGACTTAATCCTAAGTGTTGTGACTGTTTTACTCTCTCTTAAGAAAGGTGTATATAGGAGAATGTGTGAAGATAGTAGAGTCATCAAAACATTACAGTTGCAGTCGATTCAGTATTCATGGGTTAGAAGCGAAGTTATCAGTTAATTACTATTATGTGGTTTTCAAAGATAGATTTAAGAAGAAGATGCAGTCATATTAGGATTAGACCAGGACGTTAATTTTCAAAGTGGTTTATATGAGTGGTTACTTATGCTTTTTGAGATGTCTAATATTCCTAGTACTTTCACGAGAACCCATGTTGTATTCATTTATTAGGCAAACACTCTATCCTTATTTTGATGATATTCTCATGTAAAGTTGGTTGAAGGTGTAGCATTTAGATTGTCTTAGGTAGGTTATTTGTACCATCAGATCTGAGAAATGGTGCGCCAACATAAGAATTTTTTTATGCAGCAGCAATTGTTTATCTTAGGTTTCATTTACCTCAACGAATTTCTATTGATCCTAAAAATGTAAAAGACTAATCTAAGACATTAACTAAACCTTGTCATTTTCACGGTTTAGCCTCCTTTGATAGAACATTTGTTAAGGATTTTAATACCATTAGTGGCCCTGTTAGTGAAGAAGGAAGAATTTCATTAGAACTGCTTCAATCCATACAACATTCCTAGAAATTCAGCAAAAAATGACGAAATTCAATTGAAGCAAGGTGTTGAGTACAAAGATATTGTTTCTCTGTAATTGACGGAACTATCTACTACCTAAAGAGTTTTTCCTTTATGATGACCATCAAGCACATAGATACTTTTAGTGGAAGATGTGTTAAGGTAACTGCAGTAAAACAATGAAGAGGATGGATTCCACTCATATAGAAATAACAAAGCAACAAGTTCAAGTTAAATCATTAGATAAATATAGAAATACAAGGACAAGCATGACATTGCTAAAGTGGAAATGTAACACTATATTCTTATGTCTAATTATCACATACGTACAAAATATAAGCCAACATGGAGCTCGATTAGTCAGCTAAGTGATGGAGTTCCAGATGATAAGAGAAAATCTGGAGAGAAATCTATAACATGCATGTGAGTGTATAACTATTCTACCAAGCATCCTTTTCTCTTTCTATAGAGGCGTACGTAGTTATAAATAATACAGCGTAGTTCTGAAGCTTACCCATTTCCAGCAAAATCAAAGTGAAATGCACTAATTCCTTCATTTTCTAAAGCCAGAGCTAGGTTCACCATAATCCTGTTCTCCTGAATTTGTGAGAGATAAAATCCACTATTAGGTAAAATATTATGACTAGTTCCCTAATCTACCCAAGTTATTCATAGAAATATTTTACTGCTTGAAGAACTACAAAAGGATGCCTGATAATCTTGAGTTTTCCAAAGAAAATACAATGAAGTCATCTCTAGTCTCTATAATTAGCCGTCCACTCAATTTTTTTATTTCTTATTTTTTATATTTTTCTTTTCGCTGATTATGATTGTTTTCTGCTTTAGATAGTCCAGTTTTCTTGCAAAAGGAAACACAAGTTTCTTTTCTTCAATGAAATTGCGGATTATAACTTCTTACCAAATAGCTTTACTCTTAGCACAAATTCTACATGGAACAATAATTCCAAAGCTACTATGAAGAACCATATCATGCATCAAAGCATGCAGTGGGGATTATTAAGTACATTAATTTGACAAGCAAGAATTATGCAGGCACTATTATATTTCAGTGGATCTTTTTCAACTTTCTTACATTTCATTCTAATTACTTGCCACTAGAGATTTGATTTTAGCCCATAAAATAACCAACCAAATATCATTTTTGAAAGGTTTCGGTATTAATTTTTTGTAGGCTTGTAAGAAAAAAATTACTAAACTAAAGAAAGTTTATAACCAATAATTAGATTTCAGATCACACCTGTACTTTTGCAATCTAAAATGGCTGATATATCAACTAGATGTTAAGCTAGAAGCTGTCATTTATGTTATGGTGTGTTGAGTTTGGCTGGAAACCAAGAAAAGCGAAGAAGATTCAAAAAGAGTGGCAAAATGAATTAGAAGGAAATCCAAACTTGGTTCTCTTCTCTTGCTTTCTTTTTTTGGTTCCACAAGAAAGTTGGGGAATCTTGGAGGGAAAAAGAATATTTTAAATTCTCTTCTACTTCTACATTACATTTTAAGAATTGTGAATTAAAATCCTTTACATGATTTTATGTTTTGTGCTGAAGTGAGAGCAGGAGCAGATAGAACATGTTAGTTATTTGTGAGTTTTATCAAGTTCAGTGGTTTTACAAATTACCTTAAAAGACAATAAAATTACAGGGTTCAAGGAGTGATTATTTGTTTTTCTTTTATTTTTTTTCCTTCCTCCCCTATTATGTGAACGGAAAAGAAGAAGACAATTAGCTTTCTCTACTCCTTTTCAATTTTCCATCCATTTCAACTAGAGTCTTGAGATTTTTGATTTTCAACACTATAAACCACAGTGAGAGAATAAAAGCGGTTCTCACATCGAATTTCAAGAATTCAAAAGTTACAACTGTTGTAACGTGAAAGACTTTATATGTGGTTGTTAAACCAACATATAGCAATTAGAGGAAATTTCAGAAAATTTGTTAACAATCTCATTCCCAATAAGGCTGACCATGTTTATCTTTTTCTAAATTTGACCTCAATTTTGTTTATTCAAAAATTTCAGTGGGATCCACTTGAAATTTTTATAATTTGGTGCAATTGCAACACTGTGTAAGAAGGGACATGCTAATCTCTGATGGAGAATCCCATCCCCCTTCTTGGTTCAAAAAGGTCAAAGAAAATTCAAGTAACAGATAATGCAATTCCAAACAGTTGCATATATAAAAACGGGGAATCTCGTAAATCATGTGCATCATAACTAAATAGAAACAGAACACTTACCTTTGTGCATAGAAAACCATGGCACAAGAGTACAATTTCAGCAGATCCAGTCTCATGCAACACCCCGACTAGGTGCTCTCCATGGTGGTTTTGTATTATGATTTTCTGCTGCATAGCTGTTCAAACAAAATCATGAATACGTTATAAACACAAAATAGTATAGCACTCTAGCCAAGTTCCAGTACGATAATCCATGTCACAGTTTTCAGCAAAGAGAATCTCCTGATCTATTAACCCCGCGATGCTTTTAAGGATAAGAAACCATCCAATGCGTTAACCTCGGGATGCAAGTCAATATCGAATTATCCATGAACACAAACACTTATAGTAAGTTGATGGAACAAATAAATGAATTAGCAGTTTCTGTTATAGTTCATCTGCAACAAGGCAAAACATTTTCTTGTCTGCGAGTAGCAACTACGAGAGTGTAAGACTTCACTCTCTGATTTGAATCTCAAGTGTACGTTCAGCCGCATTATGAGGTGGAATTCGCAAAGAAAAACTTCTGTCTCTCGGTTCAAATAAGACATTCATTCAACGGATAAAACCTGCTACCATCAAAACATGTTATCAAGTTTCCCGAAACTTAAAACATGTTTTGATATCTTCCTTTTTCACTTTTAGAAGTTTCTTTTTTATTTTTTCCCTCTTATGTTGGTGTCAAATTAAGTAAATTAAACTTACTTCAACCGATAAAGAAAATTATTCATTTTAAAACTTTAAGCTTAGCTAAAGTTGAACGGTGAACCCCTATTTCTTCCACGGGAGATCATCTAAAACTTATGACTCCTATATCTTCCAAAATTCATTAACATTTCTCGATGCCACCAAGATCAAGAAATATAATCGTTTACCTCTAGTATTATCAAATTCCAAGTTCATATACTCATTCCTAGTGATCCAAAATCTAAATCTTCACTAGTCATCCAAGGCAAGTCCTTTCAAAAATTTATTAAAAGAATCCTAACTTTCATTCATCGGGATCCAATCACTGAAGTTTAAAGCAAAAATAGGACATGGGTCACTCTAATTCACAATATTTTAGTAAAATCAGCTTCCGTACGTACAGGGAAAAACATAGATGCTAGAACAGGGGTTTCAAGCATTATATACCTGGGTTTTGAGCCTTTATGTCGGTTCTTGCTTGAAGAATTGAAGTGTGCATGGCGACTGGTAAAGAGTAAACTCAAATGAGTAAGAATTTTTGGATAATACCTGAACTTGGAAGGAAAATATTGGGATTTAACAAAAGTAGCAAAATATATATTGTTTTCTTACGATTGAATTGAGGAATGGAGACGAATAGAATCAAAAGAGATGACGAATAGACTAGAGAACAGAGTTGTCCAATTTGAATGGACTTATTCTTCTGACAGAGTACAAAAAGTTCTTCTGACAGAGTACAAAAAGTGATGAATTATGTACTCCTTGACATTTCGCCTGTTTGTTGGAAAAAGTGTTAGAAAATAGAATAATGTTAAGTGTACACAATTTTTTACACAATCTTTTACACCTCTCTCACATGGAAGGGGGCCCACACATAATAAAATAATCGTGGACCCCCCTTCATGTGAGAGAGGTGTAAAAGATTGTGTAAAAGTGTGTGTGTACATGTAGCATTACCCATAAGTGTGTACATGTAGCATTACCCTAGGAAATATTGTTGTTAAAATCAACGTATAAAAATCTGTCAAGATGTCAAATTTGACACAAACATGATGTACATATAGCATAATTGTTATCCAATTGAATTAATTGTGGGACCACATTTCCTAACTCAATTTGGACCCACTATCATGTTTTCTTATGGTATAAAAATACGGATTTAATCTTCAATCTCTACAAAATATTAAATTCCAATCTAGTTACTTCGATTTAGACCTTTAAATTTTGAACATTTGAAAAATTGGACACAAGTTCTACTAGATGGAAGCAATTAGTTTTTATTTATTTATTAAAATTGCTTGTATCTTTCATATGGACCATTTTTTTAAAAAAAAAAAACCTTTATCCTTAAAAAAGACTTGAACCAGGTCAATGACACTCCTGCACTTGAACTGGACAATGGACATGTCTTGTCCCTTCTTGACAATCTAAGATACTATAAAGTAGAAGACATGATCAATAGAGACAGGATGAAAGGTGATACAGTCTTATCACATTCCATTAATTTAATTTACAATCATATTACATGTATATCATGTTTTACATCAAGTTTGACATCACATGAGTTAGTAGGTTTTTATATATTAATTTTAACAACATTCTTTTCAATTAGTGGCTAAATTTCCGACACATATGCGAAATAACAAAAATAGTGTCAACCACCCGTACACAAGAAGCATGATTCATTGGCTAAACAATTTTCGGCACCTGGCAAAACTAATAATATATTAATAATTAAACTTTATTTTCAATCATATTCCAATAAATCTAAGAATATACTCACGAAAAATGTTTACCCATGCGCACTCAAGGGCTTAAAGTCATGCATGTGCATGGCTTGCTTCTGCTTCTATTGAACCACCATGTGTGCGCATGGTTTACCAAATTAGCCGTTAGGTTGATTTTTCATTTTGATTCTATGGACTTTCGATGAAAAATTCAGGAGTTGTTCTCTTTGTGTTTCAATTTTTTGTTTTGAGTTTTGAATTCAATTTGAGTTTTTTATTTTGAGTGTCCATTTTGAGATTGTTGAAAATGTATTCTTATTGGCATTTTGAAAAATTGTTTTGAAAACACCCAGAACGTGTGTTGAAAATTTTGACTTTATTATAATTGAAAACACTCAAAACGACAAATTTGTCATTTTGAATTTTTTTTTTGGTAAATTTTTAACTTGGTTTCAAAAAAGTATTTTCGAAAATAGGAAAGAGAACACATTTTCACTATTTTAGAAAATTGAAAACAAAAAACGATTTGAAAATGGTAAAAAGAACAGACTCTCAATTTTTCATGAATAATTGACACTATTTTTTGGACTGTGAATTGAAACCTATAAACAGGTTATAGTTTGCAATTATAAACACATCAAATCATCAATTAAAATCCATTACATGGACCTTTATTCCAATTCATTCTCACTTTCAAACTTTCAAGTGTTACTCAAGTTCTTAAAAGAAAATACAAGTGTTTGAGTGATTTCTTCTTAAAGGTTTGTTCAGTCCTAAAAATCATTTGTC